AAATTAAAAAAGTGAAAAAGCATAATAGGACCCCTTTAATGCACATGACTTGGTAGGCCAGTAAACAAACAACAACAAAGGGCTTTGTTTGTATTAAGGTCTTAATACTGTAGCACGGCCACATAAGAGGGATATATTTATAAAGCTGTTGATTAAATACTAATTTGATTGTTGATGTGTCACAGCTGTTATTGATGTATCTTTGTTTGTATTGCCCCATCGAGTGTGGTGGACCCTGTTTCTTCTCGCGAGAGTTCGCTCGCAACGCGCCAGGGAATCCCCGTGACGTCACATCGACCAGATGATTTGACACATCCGATAAAAGAAGCCGGTTAGCGGCGTTCATGAGCTACGCTCAATGTGCTCACTTGGATACACTACGATCGTCTCCTACATGCTGCTGTTATGTGCTGTGAACTTTGTGGAATTCTCAGCGTGGAATGGTCAAGTTTGTTGGACTATTTGAGTTGGATTCCCTCACAGGACAGCGCTGTTCCTCAACGTGCTCCCGGACTCTATACAAGTTCACCGGTGAGGCCGAACTGAACACACACACACATACTATTGGACTTTCAAGGACAGTACGCACACATACTCATACATTGATTGTATATATTGTATATATCGTTTTTTTTGTCTTCTTGTGAAATACACTCTGGGTTGGCATTTATTATTTTTGGTAGTTATTTTTTGTACCTGCATTCCTTCAACCCCACTATTAAGAGGTAAACAGAACAACTTCTAACACGTCTATAGTCGACCAAGACCAATTGTAAAAAAGCAATAAATCTTTATGAAATACACAATAATTTATATTTACATCACGATCATTTGTATTTATTTTAATGACTAATTGTATTCACAAAGTGCCCTGTGTGGTTAAGTGATTGTGAAAACACTGGATTTTAGTCATTATTTGACCCGTTTTCCCTATACATTACAATACGATTTTATTTTATTTTTTAATTAAATTTATGCATATACATATGAAACAGATATATATCCGGTCACCATTTCAAGTCTGAGTTTTATGTGAATTTCCAAAACTCTGCTGCCAAGATGTATATATTTTTTGCAAAATCCCGCGATAGGATAGATTATCTCGCGAGAGAGCGTTAACGCATTTTCCCGAAATGAAGTGTTTAATGCATGCAGAGTAACACCTGTCAAGGTCAAAATGATGATGAAGGACTGAAGGACATTTATGGACTGTCTCTCTCATGTTGACGAGACTGAATTTGTCAATATGGCAAGTGTTCCTGATGACAGTGAAACAGACACAGAATCAGAATCAGAATCTGATCCAACTTTCCTAGAAGATGATTTGGCATCCTGGGCTACTGAACACAAAATTACACATGTGGCATTGAATTCACTGCTCAACATTCTACGGCTGCACAGTTTAAATCTGCTAAAAGACTCGAGGACATTGCTAGGAACTGTGCGTTTGAACCCCGAAATACAAGACAAGGCTGGTGGCCAGTATTACCATTTCGGAGTGCTGAGGTGCTACATCAGAATGTTGACATTCTGCGCAACATTCAAACGTTGGAGCTTCAGGTCAACA